TATATATAATTGTTCATCGTCTTTTCAGTTGCATTTGTACAAAGGAATGGGTTGGGCCTGACTGTTCCATTCCTATCTAAATCTATCTAATCGTCGCTGAAAACTAGATAGTTCTTCTAGATGCCCGTAAGGAATTTCTCTCTCGCAGTTTTTATTAATTACTACGAAAGGAGGAATCGGTCGGCATCGGTGTTATGTTATACATATATTACAGTGAACATGTTGTTCTTACAAATTTTATGTCTATTGATGTAGTGGTTTTCTAATAATCTAAAATAAGATTAGCTTACATTAGAGACGTTAATTTTGGGTCGAGAAGTGGCGGAATGAGAGTTCAAATATACAAATAACATCGCCGCCGATAAACGAGCCTGCAGATCTTGTTTGCTGTATTCGTGATGCCATTCTACGTTGCCCCAATGGGAAATCTATGTATAAAAGAACATAATAATGACATAGAAATATATACACTAGAAATATATCACTAACATATTGTAATAGATAACGGAAAACAAAATGGACTCTCACAATCACAATTTTTATCATAAATCCAATCGAGAAGGTGATATATACCTGATATTCTTCTTCTAGACGTGAAAGACTTACAGCTTCCGGGATATTAATTACTCTTGCAGCTGTGGCAAGAGTTAAAATAACTGATTTTAATCCATCCATTGCATATACAAGACCTATTGTAGATAGTAATTAATATATACAAACATAGACCATTCTATCTCACAAAATTCTATTATTACCATAAATACTATTGAAATTATGAGATAATAAATGTCTCGTTAATGCAGCTTTGGTTTCCATAGATACTGTAGGTGCCTGTATACTCTGAGTTCTCATAATCTCTATATTGTAATGTTCACAAAACCAATGAACTATTGGTTCCCACTTTTCAATTTGTAACTGATACAGTTCATCCACTTCCTAAAATCATAAAAACTATTGTAATCAAGATACTATCACATTAAAAATAATATTGAAAAAATATAAATAATTTATATAAGTATTTACACTCGAATAAAATAAAATTGTGTCCATTTCTAAACAGTTCACTATGTGATTGACCAGTTCTATTTTGGTACGATTGTGCGGATTGTCCAATACAGTATTGCACAAGGATGTCTACAATGGAAAATCAGAAAAATGTTAGCATATGTTTATATGTATTTAGATACAAAATATCATATGAACTGGTAATGCCAAATTACTAAATTATAATAATACCAAGTATATTTGTAATTCTAAAATAATTTCTGTATCTTGTTAAATCAACTATGATTACAATAATATAATAAATTATTAGATTCAAAATAATTATTCCATCATGATATTCTTGTGATGTATGGAATAATAATATAAAATCAATTAAATTAAATTATTCATATATATAGTTATATTGGTTATACCAAGTGCATGCTTCCTCTGTCGATTGTCCCCTTTTGTGCATCCCATTCGGCAGCCACCGCTAAGGCCAGAGGTTTGCTGTTCACCTCGAATATTCTACCCTGCGGTGTCTTCAACTTCCTCTGGTCCAGAGTAACCTCAAACTTGTCGCCGCTCGAAAGTATGTTCGTCCTTCTATAAAATCGTTTCACGGTGGCTACAAGTGTCCAGTTTTATTATGCACTTAGTAACAATCGTATTCAATTCAAGCATATTAGGAAACGTCAATGTAATCTAAAAAAATAATAGTGTTTTGAACAAAATATAATTATTACCCATATTTCTTACAACCAAGGAAGTTGACACAAATTTATGGCATGTAAAATAATATAGTGTATTGATCAATTTGTTAAGTATTTGTGGCATGTTGCTTATTATTATTTTAATGGTTTTTTTTTCCAAAACATTCAAATTTAAGGAAGAATGAGCAGACGATTCACAACAACATTAATATGTAGCGTCAAATAGTGGCCAATAATGTAATTTACTCTTAAAAACAGTGCAGTAGGTATTACAGAATTCTGCACTGCTAATGATGATAATGTAATGGCGTACGTCATTCAATAGCCATTGGTATAGAAGATTTCTTCTTGAAAATTTTTTGTATAATTTTAAATATATTTATTTTTATTTGTAAATATTTTACTTTCATAGACTTCAAATGTCTATTTGATTACTTTGTATTTAAAAATCACATAAAATAAATAAAAGATATATAAATCTAAATTCTCAATATAAAAAATTAAATTATTATAAACTATTTTTTAAATTTGTCCAATTTTTTCATTTTTTCAATTTAAAATTAATCACCATTTTTTTAAATAAATATTTTATCAGTTCTGAGAAATATATTTAATAAATAGGAAAAATATTTTTGTAATATAATTAATTATATATGCAATTTTGTCACACAAAATAAACGGGTTATATTGAAAAACATCCGTAAGTGTATAAAATACGAAATATATATATATTTGCTTTTTTATAGCATAACATATATAATTTAGATAAGTATACATATGGGTGTTACATTGTACCATAAGTTCAATGATATAAAAGATGACAGGGTTTACAATTTAATATATACAAAGAACGGCAAAGTCGCATAGTATACAACACTTTAACGCTTCTTGTATTCTATAGCCGTTAAGAAGATAATCGTATTAGAAGATAATTGTATTCACGCACACAATATTTTATATTTGCAAATCATGTTACAATTGTCAGAGAAAACAAAGTTTATTATTATTAATTATGAGGAAGATTATTATTCAATGCAAAAGGAAAAATCTGGCAAATAGGCATATCTGGAAAAGAAAATATTGAAGAGATAATTTTGTCAATCAAATTTTGTTAAAACACAACTGACTAATGCGTTGTTAACAAAGCCATTTCAAAAAATGACATTAGAAAAAAGTGTGATCTTTCTTTACTTACAGTCAGCTTTAAATTGATATCAGTTATGAGTGCGCAAAACGAAATATCTTACAATGTCCTTTAGAAAACGAGTTCTCTTCTACATAACGTCATCGTTATGATTGTTCCCACAACATGGTCTTGGCTTCTCATAAACTTAAAACATATAAACGCGCTGTTGCATCGATAGAAAAGGGCACTCGGTTTGAAGAACGCATCCGTTAAAATTAATTTATAAGAATAAAAGATTTTCTGTTTAAAGATAAAAAATATAGTACAGAATGTTACATGATCGTCGCGCGCATTATTGTGCCTTTTATTGCGCCGCTAACAAACAGCATCAGATTGTATTTCCACAAAACTTTGAATGTTTATAGAAAATTCATCTCTCATTAATGTTTTTATAAACGTTATTTGTGTAAGAAAAGAATTACTTATATATTGTCCGTTTATTTAGTCTATGCTTCTTAGTTAGCTATCTAAATACAAATATTAAACCTACTAACATAATATGAATTAACACTCGTGGAAGCACCCTGAATCACTGAATGACAGTCGCAGGCCCGAATTCTCGATTTAGCATAGTGTTTAAATCTTGATATAACCATAGCTACGTTCGAAAACAATATTTAAATCCCCTTGTATATCATTTTATTCTTATTGTTCACTAAACAAGAACAAAATAATACACTGGGCCATTCGGGTGATGTTTCCAAATGTGTCTCATCTGAATCAAAGTTTCGTCTATTTATGCAAAAAATTCAAATCAAAATGTATATCGAATGAACACATTTAGTATCGAAAACGTGACAGAAGAACACGGGCCAAGATCTATTATCGGCGGTTACGAATAAACAGCGAATTTTGCATTTCGCCGTCTGACTTTGTTTCATTCATCTCGCTATCTCTAAGTTTGATCAAAAAAGGACGATAAGTACTCATCGCTCTTAACGAAAAATCGCGACGGCGCGATTTAAAAACGCCATCTCTTTATCCCGATACATGTTTCGGTTTGGACTAGGTTCAATCATCGTAGCGACTCTACGACTTGGACATTATACACGCCGGGATAATGAGAGAGAGGAATAGAGATACATTCGATAATTAAGAACCAGTAAGAGAATTTGACATTTGTTCTCAGACATAGCTCTCATCGTCGACGACGGATCTGCCGAATCCTAGATGCCTCGTCGTAATAGGAGCGCGAGGTTGCGGTGGTGGTCGATAAGGTGGTGGCGGTGGTAGAGATCTGGACCTACCCGCAACTTTATGCCTGTCCTCGAGGTTCATATGCACTGGTGGCAGATGTCTGAGCCTTGGCGGCAATGGTGGCGGTGTGTCTGGCCATGTAGTTCTTTCCTCCTGTTCATCCTCGCTGAGGTCGACTACACTTTTATAGGAATCGTTCACATCCGCAGTTCCATAAACCTCAGTCGATCGACTCCTCTCATCGCAATATGTAATCTTACCGTCAGATTCACCATTTGATTCCTTACTTTTGCAGTATTTAAGCGCTTCCATATATATTGCCTTTACCCTAACAAAGTCATCGTATAATTCACGATCGCGGGCTTGACGACGGCGCTCTTTCTCCGACATTGGTGACTCCAGACTCACGTATTGTACCTCGGAGGATTTGGCTTTCTTAAACTCATAACAATCGCTACCAGAGCGAGTTGTATCGCCACCACCCGTTAGATCCTGCTCCGAGTCATGAATCGATACCCGTTCGGCACTTCGAATGTCCTGTTGCAAGCTTTTACTATTGTAATCCTCCGTTAATATATCATAGCTTACGTTTAACTGTCTGCTTCGATAAGTCTTACAGTTCTCTACATTTTCTTTCATCGTGTCCTGTCTAAGATACTCCCTATCGTATGTGTCCTTGTCACTAAATCTCTCTTTTCTGTGCTCGTGTTCGTCCAATTTGTTCGTTCTGGGTGTTCTTTTGAGCTGTGCCCGCAACCAATCTTGCCGTTGGAAATTAGATGATTGAGACGGATTGGGGTAACACCCGTTGGTCTTTTCCTCTCTGAAGTTGTGCTCCGTGTTACTCGTATGATTATGATTGCTGGATCCGTAACCATTCAATCTTTCCTCCCATCCGCATCTATAAACTGGCATGTAGGTTTTATTATTAGACTTCTCTTCTTTCGCAAAAGATTTATCGTAATTGGTAGACGAAGGGGCATTTGGGGCAGAATCTTCTGAGCCTACCGGCGATTCCGGGATGAATAATTGGCAATCTGATAAGGTCAAGCCTGAGTCCCTTGACAAAGACATAGGGTCTCTACGTGGTGCTTCTGTTAGTTCCAGACTATCCAAGGATATTCCACCTGCTGCATCATAAGAGACTAATTAATAACGGATAACGTAATTATTAAAATGTTTTAATCAATATTTTAATAATTTCTTTTGATTTAACATTTTTTGATATAACAATAATTTAACAGCATAATACGTAATTGTAATACTTACAGTGAAGACTGTCGGTACTTTCCTCGGCTCCACTGTCGCTGCGTGTATCTTCCCCGAGGAGCTGCGTGACACTGGTGCCAAACAAATCCTCACAATGACGTATTAACATTTCCGTGATTGTCGGGATCGCTCTACTTTGATTCACTGACGGATTCGAAGACCAAAGCAAACTCGGACCACAGCAAACGCCAAGATTGCTGGCGCACATGAGATTACGTTTCGATCGCCTCGCCACATGATGCAGTACACAAATCAAATGCGAAAGTAATGTGAAATTCGCCCTCGGTAGCCTATCTAAAATGCTGCAAATTTTTTCCAATTAGTTTCATTTTATCAAAAATAATTTTGTTAATAACAATAACAAATGTAATAATTAACATATAAATTTTAATAAGACATATAAATTCATATCATTTTAATTTTAACATAAATTATAATCTAAAAATAAATAAACCTTTTAATGGTTTGGACAGGATTCGGCGTGTTTAAACTGTCCATCCAGAGGGGAAATAGATGGAAGGTCAAGAGAGGATCCGGCAAAGATCTCAAGAAGTCTTTCAGCAAAGCTGCCACTGCTATAATTGGAGCATCCTCCAGACAACTAGGATCTCCTGTGGACTCGATCTGTTCACGCAACTCTCGTACGATTCGAACATTTGCGGACTTGCGGAATATTCCCTGCATGAAAGGACCTTTCGCGAATAATTGCTGTAACATCACGAGAACGGGTTTGGGCAGGCCATTCTCGTCCAACCGCGATAGAGGTACGCCAAAGAGGTTTGTATTTAACGACAACGAGCGGCGCAACAAGCCCGTTATTTTCGACCGATTGTTCTTCTTCGCGGGTGTCTTCATCACGGGCCTGAGAATGAAGTGGCACAAGTCGACGCCGCTATTGTTGATGTGCACCAGGTCGAAACCCTCATCTGTCGATAGCATATGTCGTAGACGTGACATCTTCACGGCGAATGGTCGCTCGTGTCCTATCAACGGATATGGTGGTTCGTCTGGGAACGTTCGAGCCCAAAGCTGGAAGGGTCCTTGAAGACCCCACAGCGGCGTCGCTTCCTTCACGCAGTCATGCGCTGTCATGTCGGAACGGGCTTTGATTGTCTTGAACTGCAAGGTGCGAAAAATAGCACATATGTATTTTTCCCTCTCCAGATTACAAAGGAATGAATAATACGGCGCGCGGTTCATTGAAATTTGTTTACCGACGATAGCGTTTACCTAACGGAAATTTATTCGTGATCCAAGCAGTTTATACATTTATACAACGTCAATGAATTATGAACGATGATTGAAGCCGGCACAATAGCGATTTTAACTCGGCACCGACGAGTTTTGCGATACAAAAAAGACACTTCTCACGAAGAAAAATATTACCAGGAATGTCGAATGATCAAATCCCGCGGATTCGAGTATGCGCAAAGAATGGATTGTAGGCGAAGGAGGCGTGACCGTGAATGTATCCGCTTTTGCGTGAAAAGACGGGGCATACTTACGTAATCGGTGTGCGTGTCGTTGTCATGATATACGACTTGGATGTTCGTCTCTGGTGGCTCCTTCATGCTCTCCTTTTGCACGAGATCACTCAAACGTCCCCACCAGAGATCTCGCGTTGCGGCGGTCCTGTAAAGATAATTTCACCATGATAATGATAATTATTGTTAAACTTTCCGAAACTACTACTGATATTTTTAACATTTAAATTTTAATCATTATAATCGATTTTGGATATAACAAAGATATATCGGTTTTGGAAAAAAGCTTGCTTACATGAAAGTCGCTACAACGTTTGTAGTAGGCCAGCCAATGACGAAGCTGGTTTCAGCGGACTTGCTGGTTTCTGCCACGTCTTCTATGTGACCGGCCGTGAGCCAGAGCTCACTCATTTTTACAATTTGCTTTAGCTTAAAGTTCCCGCTGCTACGGGCTTTCGCAATAAGCAAAAGGTCAGTGAAGAGGAAGAGGTGCCTTTCTTGAGATTGCATGCCCTAAAATCAACAAGTCTTAAAATCCGATCGCCTTAAATAACATTAATAAAGTCTTAATCTTCATTAAAACGTGCAAATGTATGCGCATATTTTAATTTTCATAACTTCCTGAAGCTTTTCGTACCGTGGTGAACTGAACTGGCGTTTCCAAAAGAAAAGTCCTAGTCGGCGATTTCGTCGGAGATGAAGTACTATCCGTGGTATCCAGAGTTTTTTGAGAAAGTCCTCTTGTTAGCCTTACTGGAGTACTACCGTTTCTTTTACGTAACATATTTTTTGTTTTCTGAAAACAAATTAGATTAAAATTTAGCGGATGACTAACAATGATTAGTTATTTCTAAAAAAAAAAAAAATTTTTAATTCGATATAATTCTCATCTAAATATATTTAATCTTTTTTTCATAGAAGAAAGAAAAAAGAAACTTTTATGTTAGATTATCTAAATAACACAAAACCTAAATGCAAATTTAAAGCTCTCCTTGTCTCGACTCGATCGGGAAATTTCGCAGGGCTTACAGCATGCTAATTTTATCGTCGCATTTAATCGCGTCGTATAACATCACACACGTGCCAGCGAAAGTAGCGAGTGCTCTCGTAGCGGATCGAACGGACGGATTAACATACATGGGCTTATTAGATTCTCTGACACGGTCCAACATCCTCTATTTTTCACTCGCCATTCGTTTTTAGTTACGAAATCACCTCTGGCAGTCCCGATTGGATAGTAACACACCTTCGTCTCATTGTAATCGTGTTGTTACAACGCATAAAAGCCCAGACAAGACATTGATACGTCCAACGCGCCAGATAGATTATTCGCTATCATTTATATTTTATAGCATTGGAAAGTGCATCGCCCGAGGATTTTAACAGCGAAAGTTTCGAGTGTCATTACCGACGGACACTAATGTTTTATGGGATAAAAATGTTTCGAAGCAACTGCGCAAATGTTTTTCCTTGAATAAAGAAATAATAATTTTAAGTGATTGTTATTTCTGCCATAATAATATTACGACCGTAATTTTTGCATTCCATGACGTACAAGAAAAAAAAGCTGATCTTACAATTTCGAAATACGCAAGAAAAAATATATTATACGTTGAGATATTAAAGAAAAAATCGTGATTCACGATATTAGAATCTAAAGACAGCAGCAAAATTCCTTTTTTTTTTTAGACTCTTTTTACTTCTTTATAGTACTAACTTTCGCTGTACTTGTACCGTTACTGTACGAAAAAAGAATGACGTACTTTTCACGGAAATAATATAAGTACGTTCCATTGTCATATCATTGCCAGTCTCTATCTCGGTGGCATAGTTTCTAGTTTGTTTCCATATATTTTTTTGTGCTGACACAGAAAGTGAGCGCTCTATTGAACGAACGACACACCGTCAATTTCACCGTTCGCAACAATCAGCGGGTGAAAATGTAGCTGAGAGAAATTATCAGATATACGCTTCATATCCTGATGGATATGCGAATGAACGTGGGAAGGAAGTGCGTATACACGCAGAAAAATGAGATGCGTCTAAACGACCGTGAGAAAGACTGCATTACAAGGCGCATTGTCCGCGATACCGTTTGTCACAACGCTGTTGTTTGTCGCTGTTCGTATATACATTTTTCACGAGAAAAATAATAGGCCGCCTTTGCATAAACATTTTTATCGTCGTCGCGACTTTTAACTGAACTCCCGATCGCATATCTCTGGGAATTACAGATGGCGAAAAATATTTTATATCTCAATGAGAATAACCGTGTCGTACCGTGGTGACAACGTCTCGCTCGTGCAGCCGCAAATTGTCACCGGGGAACAATTCTTGGATGCGATGAAGGTCACCCTCTAACTGTCCACGATGGAGAACCGACCCGCTGTCAATGCACTCGCTATCTATCAAGCTCCTTGCTTCTTGTCCCAGGTACCTCTCGTAATCGGCGAGCCTTTGCACCTGCGCAAATGAAATGTACAATTTCGTAAAACCTTTATCACACAAAAAATCGTAACATAATACATTTTTTACATGACGACGAAAAAAAATTACACGTTGCACACTTCTATCGTGGCCGAGCTTGGGAAATCTTATCGTGCAGCCGAGAAATTCCCGATTGCGTGAACAGTCTTTACGTAACGCTGATAATTTTCGACAAATTGCCGTTCGATGGAATTGGCAATTTCCAAAGGCATTACGAAAATAGAAAAGGGAAGCGTCGCGGTGGGGAGACCCATGGACACTTTCTCTGATATTGACTTACTGGAAAAACGCGATGTGATATCTCTTTAATAATCATCACGGAACGCGGAAATAAATGGGAAACGTCGACCGGATCGGGCACGGCCTCGGAAATGCGTCGATTCGTGTTCTCTTCTCGCTGCAACGAACGCGATAATTATCATTCACGGAGTCGGAGGTGCGTTATGTAAATCGACAACATGTCATTATTTGATGTACGTACGATTGTGCTCATGTCATAGTCGACGACCGTATGCAGGGACTGATTCAGACTGGCTGTTGCAACATGTCACGTGTACGGCTTCATTAGACGTTTATAAATGACAGCGATAATATACAAGCATATATTCTAACGTATCAATAAATATAGCATTGTTCAATGAAAGCGAAAATTATAAGACTCATCTATAACATTCCTTTACCGTTGTTCATGTCTAGAATAGGAAATATATATATAATATCAGAATTAATATCAATATTAACAAAAAGTGAAAAATGACGTGATTTTCTGTATTATATAAATATATGTATATATAATCATTTTCCATTTTCTTTTCGTTAATATTAACTTATATACTGTCTCCTCCCCTATTACTTTGTGGAGATTTTGTCACATATCTTGGGTTTCTCATGGTAATAATCAACATCATCGATCTTAAAGTTAACAATCAATCATAGTAATAAAATAGAAAAAAAGATTCCATATGTATGCCGATCCGAATTTAAACATCTTAAACGTGGATTATTGTCAGTTTCGTGAAAAATCGTGAATGATTCTACAAATTATGTAAATCCCACTCGACTTCGACAACAAATCTCACCGTAGAATCCGACGACGTGGTATTATATAGGCCACCGTCAAATTTCGTCGGTGACACTCGATTATCCCGACTGATAGCCGTGGTGCTCGCGCGATTCGCTTCTTAATTATCATAACGTGGCAGGTAGTTACCGTGCCCGAGGAAATGTGCGCGAGTAGGCGGCCGTTGATGGCTCTTGTACGTGCTCTGAATTAATTCGCAGTTACCGCAAAATATCGCCATCGGCAAAATTTCGAACGATCGCCGCCGCCGCCGCCGCCGCCGCCGCCGCGTTTCACTATTACTCGCGGAATCGTAAGACGGCGAAATTCTCGAGGCTCTGCGCGCAACACATTTATCGTCTTTCTATATTAAACGCTATTCCGGATTTAATAAATTACGAAACATTCACGTGATGAAATAATATCAAACGTAAAAGTCTACAGAAAGTGCGAAAGATTGTTTAAACAAAATAGGAGAGAGCGCGAATCTGTACCGTTAATCTTTATTGCCGATGCGATGATGTAATGCAATTTCTATTCTCGTTATTATATACATATATATTAATTAATTATAAATTATTACTTTATTTATTCTATTATATTGTATTATTTATTATGAGCGTGAAGCGTGGCGTGGCAGACAACGCACTGGTCTATCATGCCCAGATTCGATCCCAGTAGAAACCAAAATATTTACGTTCGTGTCTCCTCTTGAAAAAGGCCAGCAACCTCCCGAGAGTATCTCTTTGCCCACAGAAACACCTCTTGAAAAATCCACCGTTCGAAATCGGCATTAAAACTAGGTCCCATATGCTCGTGACAATTAAATAATCAGTCTGCGCATCACAAGCATATGAGAGAGATGTAACCGGTCAGAGGCATAACACAAGAAGAGGAAAGTACTATATTTATTATATTATTTTATCACGTATTAAATAAAAATACATAATTAAAAAAAATTAATAGAGAGAGAGAGAGAGAGAGAGAGAATAGGAGAAAAAAATATCACCTTGAGATTCTCTCGAGGAAAAAACTGAAGCTTGCCAAGCTCTTCCTCGAGGCTATCTTACGCGTTACGAAGCTTCTTTTAGGTACAATTCCATGATGAATGCTACAACGGCATTCGTTACCATGTTTTCTCTTTCGCGTGTAATCTCCGCTTCACGTAGATACCTGTTATTGGCATTCGCGGACGTATACCCGTCCCCGCGCATATTCGAGAATGGGGAATTTAGCATGTCTTCCTTCACTGTTCGCATCTCTCGCTCTCCTTCGTTCAATTTCTCATCGTCATTGTCTTGAACCTGTCACGTGACGCATACGTTACTTTTACGGCACCGTTTCCGAGCTTCTTTTCGCACACTTTCACCGCATGTCGCGACATGATTATTATGTTTCTAGAAATATAGACTCGAATACAGCTGACACTCGATACGCCGCAATTGATCGTAAACGATACTTCATACCATCATCTCAATCAGGTTTTAAGGAAACCGGAGCAATTCTTGTTGAAGAGTTTATGTCTTAATAATTTAAAATTACTATGACAAGTTGGTTGTTGGTCAACTTTTCAAAATGAATTTTAAAAATTCTTCAAGTTTTCAAGATGTGGAAAAGATAATAATGACAATGGGGATCATTATTAATGCCAGATGAATGTCAGGATTTCTTCTTGCATGTTAAAGAGCCACTGTACATTGCAAACACGAGACAAGAATATGGACGCGTAAAGGAAACAGATTGACAGAAATTCATTCGTTACGGAGACTAAGATTTTGATAAGTCTTTGATCATGTTAGAAGTATTTTAAAGAATTTTCGCTAATACTCCAGATGCTAAACATTTTTCTTCAACATTATGAATAATCAGCATTACACAAGTAGTATATATCATATGTTGTTTATTAGATACACATAAATATTTTTAATATTTTATCAATTTTTAATTTTTTTCGAAATGTTTCGCCTATTTCGAAAAATCAATAAAAAACCGGACAAGAATTTTATCTACTTTAAAAATACCATAAAATACTTTGCATCATTTGAAATTTCTTTTCCTGCTTGTTTGAATAAATTATCAAATATTTAGACTTATATAGTTCTTACATGATTAAGTTTTAGAGGTTTCTATTTAAAAAAAATGTTATTTATTGTTAGACATATAAACTGTGAGGAAAGATACATAAAGAGAAAGATTCAATACACATAAACGAGAAAGAAGAAAATATTTCACAAATTACAAAAATCATCAATAACGATCATATTCCTCCTCATAGTTTTCTCTTTTAATACTTAACATTTTTTTCTCGTTTGGATTATCGATTTCTAAAACCTCTTCTTTTAAAATATAATTAATTCATTACGGTTTATTACATCGGTTAGTGTCAGCAAATTTGTACAACAACCAAATATATAATCGTTCAGGCGTCGATCAATCATTTAATCAGTCATTAATGAAGAGGGAGAGAACTATTGAAATGGTGAGGAAAAGGATTGAAGGATACGGACATGGACAATACCCTTTTTTCTCGCTTTACGTGAACGCATCATCGAACGATTTGAATATCGTTGCGACACGATATTCAATTGATGATACATCCAATTCTACAAATGCGAACCTGTATCTGTATACATCCGCCTTTAAGCATATATGCAGACGTATATATCTGAAAGGTATATACCGTTAGCACCGACGGCGACCTCGCGAGACGACTACCTCGGGCGCGCTATTTCTCAACAGCGGGGCACGTTTACACCTCACGTGTATCCGCCATATCGCGCGAACCCTTCCGCGCTTCCTCGCGGGATTCCCCCTTTGACGTTGAGCGCACGTACAACGGTAAATCGCGGAACGAAATTCCGCCGTGAAGCGCGCTATTCTTCCGAGCTCGAGAGACGCACGTGGAATGCACGTGGATATGATGGGAGAATAGCGACTTTTTACGCAAACAGCAGGAACTTTTCGCTTGAAGAATTTGTAACCTTAGCCTAAGCGGATAACCCTAAGTGGTCGGACATCTCGAGGATGAACGTTCACTGAAAGGACTTTGTTAATTTAACAAGCCACCAGTAATCACCTTTAACCGGTGATCGGTAAATATGTGACAACAAATTTTGTCGTTGCGTTTGCTACTAGTCTGCTACACCAATTATTAGTAACAGAAGCAAACTGAGAGCAATTATTAGTAACAGAAGCAAACTATAGAATCTAACCTATCTTTTGGATAGACTTTAGGCTCGTTTACATAGAATTCGTGGAGTCTTAAGTCGTAGGAAACCGATCAAGCGCAGTCAAATGTAGGGAGAATACTTGATTAGAATTGATCAATTTCTTATGACTTGGGATCCTGCAATCGTCTACGATTTTTATATACAGGGTGTCTCTTAAAGTAAGGTCGGAGCTGCATTGGGGGTGTAGAATGGGTCAAGGGGAACAAAAAAGTTTCATACCATTTTGCAATTTTCGCAATAGTTAACAAGATATTAATTACTAAAAATGGCCGAATATTGGCCTTTAATAATTTTTTTCTCAAATACTATCAACTCTACAGAAAAAACTGTAAGAGAACAAAAATCGTTATTTTCTTCTCATAAAATTCTGAGAATTTTTTCAGAATTTTTTAATACCGTATTTTCTCATAATAATAAAAATAAGAAAATGCAGATAATACTAAAAAGTTGATAAAAAATTCTGAAAAAATTCTTAGAGTTCTATGAGAAAAAAATAAACAATTTTTATCTCTTATAGGTTTTTTGTAAAATTGATAGTATTTGAGAAAAAAATTATTAAAGGCCAATATTCGGCCATTTTTAGTAATTAATATCTTGTTAACTATTGCGAAAATTACAAAATGGTATAAGACTTTTTTCTTCCCGTTGACCCATTCTACAATACATCCCAATGCAGCTCCGACCTT